TTTAAATAAAAAAGTTTTTAAATTCTTCTTAAAACAGTAATATGAGTCCTCCAGAGACACATTAGATCTTGTGATAAAATTAGACCATAAAATCGGTGCACAAATCTCGAAACTTCTGTGTCCATATGTTTTAAGAGTCTTTGTGGTGTCTTTTCGCTTAAGTTGAAGTTGTCCACTAGATCGAAGTGATCTGATAGGAGTTAAAAGTTCTATGGTAGAGTTTAAGTAAAATGGACAGTCGCCCTTTAAAATCTTAAAAGTCAAAAGTAATATTTTAAAAACTATTCGTTGAGACACGGGTAGCGCGTGGAGGTTTCGCAGAATTGGTGTGATGTGGTCGAACTTCTGAGCTTTTTAGCTGTGTTAGATTCATCTGAAGTCAGTTTACATTTTAATTTTGTACCTACAAGGGCTACTGATCAGAATTCTGCAGTTTTTTTTTTTTTTTTTTGACATTGCTTTGCCACAGACATGAATTTCAAAGTGCATAGTGGAAAAAATACACTGTTCTTTTCATTTCAGCAACTCCGGAAGCTCTTGCTGGAGATTATACACAGGATTCCTACCAATGACCATCTGAAGCCTTATGTCAAGAGCATATTGTCTCTGATGTTTAAACTGCTTGAGGTAAGTGCACTTATCTTCATTATTAATTTGTATGTATACACATTTTCTCAAGTTCATTTCACATGGACCTTGTTTAGATACTGATGGTTCACTTTATGGGTCACTTGAATAGTGACATAGTGCTAAACATAATATTTGGTAATATACATGAACTAAGACCCTATTCCCATACCTCAGACAAGAGCTTTTTCCATGTCCATGGAAAAGCGGAATTCATTGTTTTTAATACAATTCTGATGGTTCCTGAGATTGGTCAAGGTTAGGTGTTGGGTCCCATGATAAATTTTCAACCTAGGCTCATGTCTGATACTTAGATTGATCTAGCAAGATCGATCCATCTCCTAGGGGATTCTCGCTGAATTACATTCAGGGAATGGGGTCTTAGTCTTAAATCAGTGCAAATGATGCATATTTTATTTTCTATAAAAGAGAGACTTCAGCTATTGTTGTTAAAAATTTACGTTGCTGGCTGTTGCTGTTTTACATTATGCTAAAATTACAATTGTATTATTCTGTTTGAATTAAAATGTTTAAAATGGATTTCAGATTGAAAATGAAGAAAATGTGCTGGTATGTCTCCGTGTTATAATTGAGCTTCACAAGCAGTACCGACCTCAGATGAACTCGGAGGTGAGAATTTTTATTTATTTATTTACTTATTTATTTATTAATTAATTTATTTATGTATTTATTTTTTTGGGGGCAGTTCAAATTTGTTATGTTTGTTAATTTAATTTAAGGATTTGCCCATTTTTATTTATTTATTAATTTATTTCTTGTTTTATTTATTTTTTGGGGGAGAGGGAGGGCGGGTCAACTTTTTTATGTGTTTTTTTTTTTTTTGTTAATTTGTTAGGCTGAAATTTCAGACAGTGATTTGTGATAAAATAGTCACATTAAATTTTTAAAAAAATTCTCTCCCATTACAGATTCAGAGTTTTTTACTGTTTGTGAAGAACATCTACAAAGACTTGCCAAACCATCTCCTGAAGATCTTTGAACCCAAACCTCAAATCAAGGTCAAGGACATGTCAGAGGTCAATGTGGAGGCCCTCCTCCAGGAGACTTACACCATCACCACCATCATGACGGACAAGAAAAATACAGACAATTCTCCCATTTCTGTGAGTTTTGCCAGTCCTTTTTCTCTTCCTCTTTGAGATTATATCGTAGAATATAACCAAGCTTTTTGAACAAAGTCTTAGTATATGGTTTTGCATGATTGAAGTCCTTAAAAGGATTCTAATTTGTTTTTGTGAGATCTGTGTTTAATTATAATACATTTATGGTTCATCAAATGGTGAATGATGCACCAAGTTGGCAAAGCTGAAAAATAGCAAAACAATCTTGGGAGTGAGGCAGTTTAATCACCTCTTCTTATTTTATTTATGATAAAACTCTCTAATGTGTTGACTTAGGTTAACAAAAGTGCACTTGGGGTTATTATTATTATTATTATTATCCTTGCATAGTCCTGGATCCGCATTTAGAGTTAATGAATCAAGAGGTTAGTGAACTCTGGGTTCATATTTTTCAGTGTCTCAGTCTTTTGTTTCAGCTTTTGTTTTAATTCTGTTATTGCAATTCTGTTCCAGTATAATATCATCCCAAGAGCGGTGCTCTCCCTGAAAGTGCTGGCCGAGTTGCCCATCATAGTGGTGCTGATGTACCAACTGTATAAACAGAGTGTGCACCAGGACGTGGCCGAGTTCATTCCTCTGATTATGAACACCATTGTGCTGCAGCCCTCTGCACAACACAGGTGGGTTCATTGTGCTCTGCTGTCACAACTAACACATTCTTCTGATTATGAATACTGTTCTGCTGCAGCTGTCTGCACAACAGTTGAACATGGGTGGGTTCATTGTGCACCTCTGTCACAGCTAATATATTTTAATCCCAATAAATTGTGTTATTATATACAGACATTCTTACTTATTTGAGGTCTCTTTTGAGAATTTCAGTTTTTAGTGTTAGCTTTTAGAAAAAATGTAGATCAGTTCACATTTGTTTCTACATATCAAAAGTTTAGAATTTTATTACACAAAAATATTATTCCTATTTTAGAACCAACCCAGCTTTCAACAAGGAAGTATTTGTTGATTTCATCGCAGCCCAGATCAAGACGCTGTCATTCTTAGCTTACATCATCCGAATTTACCAGGTACTTAGCCAATATTTTGTGAAACATGCTGTAACTGTGTCTTTGTTGAAAGGCTTGAAATTCTTAGATAAAACGCAACTGTAGATATCAAGGAATTTTAAAGATATTTTAATTGGTGATCTATTTTGGAATTTCATTTTTTAACATTAATTAGTCAGATTAAAAATAATATTTTGATGGAAATTATGATACTTCTTAGTTTGCTGGTAGAAACACATTCCAAAAGAATTGATTTGTCTTACATTTATTTTTCGTTTCCAGGAAATTGTTAGCTCCCACTCTCAGCAACTGGTGAAAGGCATGCTGGGATTGTTAACCCTTTGTCCCCAGGAAGTGGCTCACCTCAGGAAAGAGCTTCTGATAGCAGCAAGGCATATTCTTGCCACCGATCTCAGAAATCGTGAGTTTTATTTAAATAAAATTTGTCACTATTTCCAATGTTAAATAAATAGTTTCTGTTCCTGATTACTTTAATTCAGTATCATATTGAGAAAATAAAACAGTGTTTCGCTTGTCCTTTCTTGTCTATTGCTGATCAATTTTAGGGGAACACATCCTAAATGGAATTTCTTATAGGAAACAAAGCATTGGTGTTGCTTGATAATAAGTTGTGCCTTTAATTTTGAAATATCAATGGCGACCAGTCAACCAATAACATGATTCACCATTCAAAAGGTGAAACCAAAATATAAAAGATGAGAATTGAGAATTCAGCTATAAATAGTGACTACTAAATGCTTTCTGTTATTTGAGAGTCCGGTTAAAGGGATAATAACTCTTCGTTTCGGCCAAAAAATGAATTTTCCTGGAGTAAACAATAATTTCCCCATACTTTCCAATGGTTAATGAATCCATTTTCACATTCAAAGTTAGTCCCTGGATTTTTTCTAAAAAGTTTGTTTTTTTTGTTAAAATCTCTTAAGAGAGATCTTAACATAGTATAGCCATCAATGGAGGTCACGTGATCTAAAGACAAGCTCAGATATCAGAATAATAGCTATAACTACCGTTTTTTTGTGGTAAAACAGAATATATTTTATTTCTATGAGTTATTCACAATGTTTTTATTATGAAATATAGATCTCATACGAAGAGTTATTATCCCTTTAATTTGACATCCAAATCTTTCATATGATTCCAGGTTTTGTCCCCCACATAGACAAGTTGTTTGATGAGACAGTATTGATAGGTTCTGGTTGGACCACACATGAATCTCTCAGGTATGAGTTTTGTCCCCCACATAGACAAGTTGTTTGATGAGACAGTATTGATAGGTTCTGGTTGGACCACGCATGAATCTCTCAGGTATGAGTTGGTTTGTAAACCTCATGATGGCACTTGCTCGTGAATCTTTGGCCCCATTCAGAATGGATGATCCGAGTACTTACTGATCCGATGACTAAATATAGCCGACCACAGTTCAGAAGAGATGCCACTGATTCCATGATGACCTCCCAGCCTCCACATGCACTGTAGATGCAGGGGCGTAGCAATTAAACCTTGGAGCCAATATTTAATCTGTTTAAAGGCGTGTGTGGAGGCGGGAGACCATCAGGAATCAGCAGCATCGCTTTTGAAGTGGGGTCGGCCATATTTAGTTGGCGGATCAGTTAGTACTCAGATCATCTATTTTGAATGGCCCCTTTAAGATCTGTACTTTGACTAATTTTTGAGATGGGTTCATGAATCTCTGGTGATTCATGAGTTGCTCATGGAGGTTCATGGATTTCTCCAGTAGGGTCTTGACCAATGAACATTTAATGATAGATTTTAGACTGTTCACTGTTATTATCATGAGCTTAGGTGTCAACAAGACTATAAAAATCTCAAACACTTCAGTGTGGAATTCTCACAGTGTGTAGCAATATGGTCCTTTGAAGTTACATTATTATTATTATAATTATTATTATTGTTGTTGTTATTATAATCATTATTATTTACTTTCCCAGACCCTTGGCATACAGTACTCTAGCTGATCTAGTGCATCACGTGAGGACTGCCCTGCCACTGACTGACCTGTCTCTGGCCGTCAACCTGTTCTCTAAGAACGTCCATGATGAGTCACTGCCCTGCAGCATCCAGACCATGTCCTGCAAACTCCTGCTGAATCTGGTGGAGTGTATCAAACAGAAGAGTGAGCAGGAGAATGGGAATGTGAGTATTGTGAGCAGGAGAATGGGAATGTGAGTATTGTGAGCAGAAAAATGGGAATGTGAGTATTGTGAGCAGGAGAATGGGAATGTGAGAACTGTGAGCAGGAGAACAGGAATGTGAGAACTGTGAGCGGGAGAATGGGAATGTGAGCACTGTGAGCAGGAGAACAGGAATGTGAGTATTGCGAGCAGGAGTGTTGTGAGTACTGTGAGCAGGAGATTGGAAATGTGAGTATTGTGAGCAGGAGAACGGGAATATGAGTATTGCGAGCAGGAGAATGAGAATGTGAGTACTGTGAGCAGGAGAATGGCAATGTGAATATTGTGAGAAGGAGAATGGGAATGTGAGTATTGTGAGCAGGAAATTGGGAATGTGAGTATTGCGAGCAGGAGAACGGGAATGTGAGTATTATTAGCAGGAGAACGGGAATGTGAGTATTGAGAGCAAGAGAATGGGAATGTGATTATTGTAAGCAGGAGTATTGTGAGCAGGAGAATGGAAATGTGAGTATTATGAGCAGGAGAATGGGAATGTGAGTATTGTGAGCAGGAGAATGGGAATGTGATTATTGTAAGCAGGAGTATTGTGAGCAGGAGAATGGAAATGTGAGTATTATGAGCAGGAGAATGGGAATGTGAGTATTGTGAGCAGGATAATGGGAATGTGAATATTGTGATGAGTATTGTGAGCAGGTGTGTTGTGAGCAGGAGACAAGAATGTAAGTATTGTGAAAAACTAAGCATCTGCTCGAGGGGCCAGTCCCAGATGTGTGAAATAATAAATCTCAGTCCTCCATTGCAGTTTAATGACAGGTTCGCTTATCTCTCCCAAATGGCTTCTTTCACTTATTTTTATTACATTATTTGCTATTCCAGGGTCGTGACTTACTGATGAGGATGTTAGAGGTGTTTGTGATCAAATTCAAGCATATAGCCAAATACCAGCTGCCGGCAATTCTAGCCAAGCAGTAAGTGGCATTTCTTTTGTTAGCGGGTACAGATTACAAGCTCAATCCTTACATTCAAATTGACATGGAGGACCTATGTACCTGAAAAACTTCTTGTATGTTGCCTGAAGCTCACTCTCACTTCACACCAAAATTTCATCTTAACTGTTTAAATTAAAATTTAACTGACAGGTACAATAAAAGTCATGGTGGAATTTACTGAAAGCATACGTCATTTTTTCACAAATTACTGAAATATTTTTACATAAAGCCTTCAGCAAAAATTTTTTTCACAATAAGCATGTTGCTGGCTATGAATATTGGACTTGAAATATTTTCAGTAAAACGGAACAGGAAGGAAAGGTACCTGAAGGAAAATACTCCCTAGAGGTCGCTGCAGTGAAGGAAGAAGTCAAGATGCCCCCACCCCAGCCTCCTCAAACCCCAAGTGGAGACAAAGATGTAAGCTGCTCTGTTTAAGTGAATTGTGGATCACATTTCTGTGTTTTTATCTATATTAAATAAGTGCTTGTTTTTGAATTAATGAATGGTACCGTAGACAATTTTTGATTACATGGTTGGAAAATCAATCATTTATCCATTATTCTAACAATTTTAGGGTTATTTTAGTTGTCATATGTTTTAATATTAAAATATCATGAGCTTCAAATCATATGCATGCCTGCCTTTTTTATTTTCATATATATTACTATTAAAGAGACACTTCTCTTCTGTGAGCAGGCAAATGTAGAAATTTGAAAATGAAGAAGTTGGCCCATGTTTGATCTGAAACTTGGCATTATTGATTAGAATGCTAGTTTAAGATGTGAATTGACCTTTTATTTTTTCCATTTAGAATTCTTATATTTGATTATTGTACAAAAGTCTAGATATGATAATGAGATTTTGGTTTATCTTTAAGCACCTTATCAGTTGAATAGGGGTGATGTGTGTACTAGCAATAAGATATGAAATAAATGTTTGCTTTTTTCTCTTAAGTCTAAAACCCTGGTGTCAGCAGTGACTTCTGCGTCCCAGGCTGCTGCTAATAACTACACGGCGGCTGACTGCCGCAGTCTTGTGAAGACATTGGTGTGTGGAGTCAAGACTATCACATGGGGGACC